GCGTAACTCAGGATAGAGGTTTTGACGCGAATTCCACGGTTCGCGGTCTGAGACACTACACTGGCATGGAAGTGTGCATCGATAGGATTATCTAAGTGACTGACTGACTGACCAATTGATTGATCCACTGACTGAATGAATGAATGATATAATTTATTGATCGAAATGAGTTTACTTTAAATTGCCAAACATTTTCTGCCTCTTCAACACAAGAGTACTACTAATTCAAGTGAGTAATGGTGGATTGGATTCAATTTCAAAAGTGTTTATAGCAAATGAAGCGTAAACTNTAAACTGAAAAGCTAGGAAGCATTAGATAGTTGTTTCCTTAAAACCGCCTCTATGAACTGTACGCATAGTGATGATGGTCCAAATGAATGATCATCTTTTAAAAATGGCATAAACATAATGTTAGCTTCGTTGTATGAGAATACCCATACAATTATTCACTCACATCAGAAAAACATGAGAAATGTGCAACAACAGACATATATCCATGTTTCGACACACAAAAAGGATAGTTGTAAATTTCAAAAACCTCAGCATTGATAAATGAAGAGATGGAAAATGACAGTGAATGAGGTTTCCCTCATGGAAATGTCAGCACACACTGCAAAGCACATAAGAGCCTCACAAGCATGGGATGACTGCGCCCACACCGCCTGTGATCATTGCCACATCGTGTCCCATCAAGCGACCTTTGATCGACCACCTTCCAGTTCCGGAAAATTGTCTTTACTATGTTGTATTTATTAAGCAGGAGTATAAAAATGTCACCGAAAATATCTCGTTCGCAAAACAACCCCCTCCCCACCCCCAAGCCCGATTTTGGCCGATACTGTTTAAGTCGTCCCGTTGCAGTTCACAGACACGAAACCCGGATTAGCACGTTTGCTTTTATCGGATCGCGCATGTGATCCAGTAGGCGGCTTGGCAATCGGACCCCGGGTAGATTTTGCTCTCGTCAGAATAAAAGAAAACTGTTCACAAGCCGAAATGAAAATACACATTGTAAGTTTCGTCCACCTCGGATTGAGAGGACAGTTTGAGCAACTGCATGCTCCCAGTCAAGACTATCAAGCGCATAAAAACCTCCTGTGTTTGTGTGTCTGTTTCCTAGCCGGTGAAGTTCGCGGATAGAAGAAAAACAGTGTCACATGAAACCCCTGGAAGTGGGGATTTTCACTACATTTGTAAACGATTGCAATTGACATATACATACAAAGACTGTTGTATGAGAGAGAGAAAGCGGTTTGAAATGTGAATGATTTCAGTATAATTCATTTTGTAACATTCACACCATTCAGTCCACCCTTTATTCATCTTTTTTGTAAGAATCGAACACTGTGTCTATGGGACTCGCAGTCATCTGTTTGATTTCAGTGTGTACAAAGCAAAAGCCCGTCCGCTTTTAGAGGTAAAATGTATATTCGAAACTTAGACGAATAGTTTCATGATTGTGAATAATTCTAACCGTGCACTTGCTTCTACTTTCTGCACGGTGTCGAGTGTCCGGTCCAAGTTCATAGTTCTCCACTTGGTGAGCCCGCGAGAGTCGGGGTGTTGTGTGAAGCTGGTTCAGTTGCTCGCAAAGCTGAACAGTTTCTTTCAACCGCAACATGATGTGACATTTTTCGAACTCGAGCTGCTGACTAGCCACTAGCTACAAAGCGACTGAAGTAGCAAAATTGTAACATGATCCGCATTGTTGTTTACCAGTTCATAATTAGCCATGTTTCGGTTCAGTTTTCGGCGTCAAGAAACAGCCGTGTTTGTACAGGACCAAAGTGTTTTGTGCCCCGCCCCTGTTGGTCAACTTTTTCTCTGATTCAATTGTGCAAGCGGAAAATCGTCTGATTAGTTACGTCTGGAACTAGCGAAACACGAATTCAAGCGGGTTAGGAGTGGAGAGTGCACACCGCTTTCTAGTGGGCATTATTTCCAGTACAGTCTCAGCTCTGTTTGGAGGTTTGTGTTGCCGAGGTGGAGTGCGGTGGAGTGGGGTGGGGTGTGTGGAGTGGTGGGTGGGTGGGTTGAGATTGTTAACTTGGAAAGTGAGGTGCTAAGCAAGCGATTAAGAGACGGGTTGAGAGAAAACACAAATCAGTTCATCCCCGATAGAACTAGCAAAACTATAGTGGAAAATGTTCATAAGGAACTACTTACAACCAGTGCAGTAGTGTAATCACTGCGCTGCTTATAAAATAAAACTGATCGCACAATGAATGAATGAACGAACTTCACAGACAGAACACAAGCATACTACCCATTCAGCCACCGGGTAGCTAGACAGACCAATTTTCATATTCCATTTACACGATATAGCACAACCTCATTTTAGCGACCTCGTCGCGGGTCACAGACCTCTCTCATCGCGGCACTAGTCTCCGGGTTATCACTCGGCTGGAAACATTCACAATCTGACTGTTTCTTTCAAGTGAGTAATGAAGGATTTGGTTCAATTTCAAGGGAGAATTTGTCGTGGGATTCGATCCCCAGTTAGGTCGATGGATTCGTGCACTGCTGATGAGAGCCAACCAGGTCGAAACGGCTGTCCAGGGCTTCCTACCTTTTCAGTTCACACTTGATTTACCATATACAAGAGGAATTCACCTGTGAACGTGCACGAACCTTCATAAATATAGCTGATTTCAACTAAGGTGAATCTATGTGGTTTGTTGACGATCAAGTCGGAGACCTCAACTAGAGAGGAAATAATTACCTAAGCACCATATGTTCACCTGGCGAACAAGCGTGCCATTCCCTAACCTGACAGTCAAAGCTTTGTGACACTGTCTATCTGTGACTGGACTACAAACACAAATGAATTCCAGCCATGTCCGGGATATACGTATTGTACACGAGAGATGCATATTCAGCAACCACATAATCAAAGTAGACCCAATTAAGCAAGCTAACTCACAGCGGTACTCCATAAAGCAAGGAAAGAACGAAACAAATTTACAATACGAATCAGTTTTTGTTCGGAAGCGAAGCGTTCCGGGTTAGAAAGGAAAATGGCCAACATGAAGCACTACAGAAGACCGGTATGCAAATGTATACAAGGTAATGGCTCGATTGGAAAACGACCGGACGCGTACAGAAATTTATCTAATTTGGAAGTAAAGTAGCCGACAAAGTCCGTGATGCTCACGCTAATAGCTTTGCCAATTAACTGCTCCTCGAGGTAATTACGATATTTGGTTTTAGACACATACCCTAGCTCCCTTATGTCATCTGATCATGAGGGCGCTTTATTTGACAACCCATTTTGTTAGATTGAATAATCCCCTTTTCTTAAGGTGCATTATCACAAAACTGGGGATTTGTCGTTCAGCGGCGTTTTGTTTTCTTTTGCCAGGAAAATCACTCTCGTGTTTTATGGCATGTGTTGTCCGGTGCAAAAGCAACTCATCCACAGAGTGGTGCAGTGGCAA